TATTACAATATTAATGACCCTTGTACCACATCTTTATATATTACAGGATTAATCATCCTTATAGTATGTACCACATTTCAATATATTACAATATTAAGAATCCTTGTACCACATCTTAATATATTACAGTATTAAGGATTTTCCTACCACTGCCAAAAGATTTTAACTATTAATTTGAAACTTTTCCTACATAACCATAACTAATAAATATATCATCTTTTTGAAAATAAGCATATATTCCTTAGCTTCAGGGACTTTTATAAAAAATATAATTGATAAGAATTTGTTTAAAATAACCAACATTACTGAGCTACCTGATCAGCCCTAGGTCCCTTACCTAGCCAGACTAAGTTATATTCAAAATGACATTAAGGGGAGGTAATACTATACGTGTGAAAAACTACGGTGAAATTCTGTAGCATTTTGCCTACAACAATTAAACCCTAAGACAACAACATCAGAAACAGTATGAATTTGTTTCTCTCTATATATATACGTAGATAAAGTTACTACCTGTTGCACCACCTCTTTACACAGTCCATTGTAAATCTTTTTTTATATTTTATAAAATAATTTTTGGAAGAAAGGTAATTATGTAACATTTCAACCAAATTTGTAAATAATGAATTAGACTTGTGTAGAATTTCATCAGAAATAATTCAGTGGACTTAAATTTTTTGGAGGGTCATAAATATCCTAGAAGCATAAACTGTTTGGATTTTCAGACATAGAATCTGCCTGAAATATTTGAATTAACATTAAATTGTTTAAATTTTCAGATACAGGAGCCTCTACTGGTGATACAGGCACCAGTCTTTCTACAGGGGTCATCGTAGCTATTGTCCTGGGCATCGCCTTCCTCCTCTTGATCATCATCATCATCATTGTCTGCTGTATATGTTCAGGTTTGTTAATGCGTCACATACCACTAAAGTCAGTGAGGAGTCCTTATTACGCCACAATTTCTAGCCCCTAGCACGATTTCTAACCCATTTTAGAAATTGTGACATAACAGACTATATTTGATATATATTTATGTATTTCTCTTGTGTATTCATTCATTTTGATGATATAAAACAGAAAATTTGTTGGTTTCTGTTTGTTAATGCGATGAATTTAATTTATAATTGTATAATTGAACATAATCTTAAATAGGTTGAGTGGTAAATTCTGTTGAATACAAACTGGAGTGTTAAATTTGTGAGAATTGCTTTAACTTGAAAAGTATAGTATCCTGATGACCATTGTTGACTGTAAAACATTTGTAATTATATTAATCTACAATAACTAAATTAATCTAGACGGCCATCTTGATGTGATCTGTTACAGGAAGCTGTAAAAAGAAGGAGAAGAAGAAGAAGAAGAAAAGTCAGATCACGCCTAAACCCGAGCCAGAGGTTTACGAGTCTCGTACAGAACAGCCTATCTATCACGTAGAAACCTACACCCCCAGACACAAACCTAGGCCATACGGGTATTTAATACATTCTCTGGCTAGTATACTGTGTTAAATGTAATGTTATCCTTACACACATGCATGACAATATATTTTCACAGTAAAGACATGACTGATAATTGGTTGTTTTAAGTTCCTAAGCCTATAATATTAAAAAAAAGGTTAATTTGATTGAGAAAATATGATAAAGAAAATATCATACTTGTTCCCTGTACATCTGAAATTTGAGAGAAAACTATATGGGAACTCTTGAGGCTTAAGATCCTTTTATATACATATATATATATGAGTTCACCTGAAGAAGCCCAAGAAAGCAGAAAGGCAAAAATTAGCAGTCAGTTCTTGTGTACTTCTTGTTTTATTTTATATTTTTCTTTATTATCTACTATATATAAATATATATCTAGACTAAAGCTTAGTACTGGTGACTGCATGGCTTCGTTAACCTCTTGTTATTTACTCCCTCTCTTCCTGGTACTTACTAACAAGTGAGAAATAAAGGTTTGCACTCCATCCGTTAGTCTTTCAGAGTTAATGGCCCTTTGTTCACTGTGGATCACTTTGTCAATGACATGAGCATATATATATATAGCATATGTATCCTGTGGTTCAAAATTGCCAAAGTTTGTACAGAATGTGAGTTTACCTGTTCAGATGGCAGAGAGTCGCATACTTACTTTGGGCCGCATGTGGCATGAAATACAGGGTTATGTCCCTTTGTTGATGTTGGTCCTTGTTTGTTCACATTTACCAGGTACCAAAAAAAATGTTCACCTAAAGTTTTCTATGTGAAGTTTTTCAATTTACAATCACTTCTATGAAAAAGGGGAATGAAAAAGGGGAAAGTCATTAAGTTATAGTAAATTCAATGTATTAGTTTATTACATAACAATCATCTGACACGTACGTTCTAAGACAAAAGAAAGAAGAAGACTAACTATTTCATCAAAATATTATAATCTTAAGTCTCAACAGGCCACAGTAAAATGTTGCGCTTGTTTGTCCAGCAATCTTGTGTACATGGTCATATATTACTGTACTCGGTGTGATGACATTTAACTGTGACGTCAAGATGGTGTCCATTTCAAATAACCCTGAAGAGCTCTGTGAAAGGTGAAAGCTGCTAGTTTTGAAGTTGGCTGTTTAGATCTTATTTTTCTATATGATTCTATAGATATATAAAATATCTAGACATAGTTAAATTGTTGGGGTTAAGGAGAATTCAAACTGTCAGCATCAGATATGTGAAAAAAAACCATCTACACATTTACAGTGAGTTTAACCCCTCCATCGTATCTCGGAAGCATGTGGATGTGGACATGGAGAGCTCCGATGGTCACGGCGGTTACGGATATATATACGGCAACAATTATCAAGCTGAGACTCAAAGGTAAGAAACATCAACAAAAATTTCACCAGAACATTATTCCTTGGAAATGGAATTTTAGACGGAGTTGTGGCCATTCTAACCAAGTCATATCAGAGGCTCAGCAAGATTAAACAGTTTTCTTGTATCAACATTTTTAGTGTAGCAGATTTTGCTTAGAACTGGTATATATATTTAGTTAAGATAGGAACGTCTTGTGGGTTGGAGTAGCTGAGTTTGGAATCTTGAGAAAGGAGGTTGAGTTTGTGAGTCTGACTTTTGGAGTCCTAACTATTAAGGAGGTTGAATTTGGGAGTCAAAGTTTCAGAGTCTAAGTAAAGATGTTGAATTTGAGAGTCAAGGTTTTATAGTCTAAGTAAAGATGTTGAATTTGAGAGTCCAAGTTTCAGAGTCTGAATAAGGAGGTTGAGTTTGGACATCTGACTTTTGAGTCAGAGAATAGAGGATGAGTTGGTAGTCTGAGTAAAGTAGTTGCGTTTTGGAATCTGAGTATAAAGGAAATTGAGTTTGTGGGTCTGAGTGAAGTAGTGAAGCTAGGGAGTTTAGGTTGAGTGATCTGGATAGAGGAAAATTAGAGGTTTCGTATGTAGTTTATTGTTTATAGCTGGAGTTGAGATTGGGTCAGAGAGATTGAGTTCTGTAATAGAATTCTAGATATAAACAAAGGAAATGCTTTGTGTACAATGGGTGAAGACTGCATGTTTTTTTTGGATTGGTTTTTTTTTGGATTTATTTGTGTTGTAAATTGAGTGTAAATATTAATGTACTTATTTTGTAGTTCAAATTGTTTGAACTTTTGGAAGCTGCGACTGAAAAGCATCAGTAATACAAAAAGATAATGTTATGCTGGCCACCAATAGTGGAGGTTAGATAATTGAAAACTGGTGGCAGTGGTGGGATTAGTAAATATAACGCTGGTGGCAGTGGTGGGATTATTAGAAAGTGTAACAATGATAAATTTGCTGTTTTCTATTAGCAGGAAATCATCTGACCATGGCCACAAACACAATTTTTTTCTGTTCATTTTATAAAATATCAACTGCAAAACACCCTTGAATAATAAAAACATAATTATCTGCCGGGCTTCGTGTCTGTGGAATAACTACAACAAATGTTAACCAATTTTTTTCAAACTTTTTCACAGCGTTTAATGACTTAATGAACGGCTCGGTCAAGTTAAATGACCACTTTCAGCTTTATTTGGCTGAGTTATGGCCCCTTGAATAAAGAAAAACGTCATTATCTGCCGTTTCTGT